CTTCCTATCCCATTCTCTTCTCTGCAACTCTCTCTTCTTCCTTCATATTCCTTGCTGAGACGATCCAGTTGTTACAACGTGGCATCCAGAGCCTTTCTCAGCACCATGGCGATGACTACATCTCGTTTGGCTCAAATTGACGAGCGTCTGATGGATTTCGATCACCGTTCCGCCGCTGCTGATGGTCGTCTAACACTCATCGAGGATCAGATTTCGGAAATTGGTGCTCGGACTGAAGTTCTTCGCACGCAAGGGGAAGCACATGATCTCCGCTTTTAATCGCTCACGACGCGTGCGGATGGCCATTCGCAGCAGCTCGCTACGATTGCGCAAAATCGGAATGTCGAGAATCGATTGGATGGATTCGAGACGCAGTTCGGGGCTCAGTTCGGGGCATTGAATGGCCAGATTACCCAATTGACTGGTCAAATGGCGGCGATGATGAATCTCTTGCAGAATGCGCCGCCGCCGGGGGCATTCCCGCCAATTTTGGGCGCTCCTCCGGCGCCACCTGCTCGCAACAATAATCCTGGCATCCTGCCTTTACCTAGGGTAAGCATGTTGGAGGAGGCCATTCCTCCTGCTCGGGGCCGCGTTCAGGAGAATAGTGCTGTGGAACGCGAGGATTGTCCTCCGCCTCGAGGTAATCACTATTCGCTTCCTCGTCTGGAGTTTCCATTCTTTAGCGGCGAGAACCCTAGGGATTGGATTCGTCGTTGTGAGAAGCTATTTCGGGTGTATGGTGTGCCTGAGGGGGAAAAGGTGGAGCTCGCCTCTGTTTTTCTAGAACGGAAGGCGGATGTGTGGTTCAAAGGATGGTCTGTGGAACGTGAAAACTGGTTATGGGGGGAGTTTGTGGCTGAATTGGTTCACCGTTTTGAGGATGTATCAATAGGGGGTGTTGTAGGTGACTTTAATAAGCTCAGACAGCGCGGATCTCTTTTGGACTACCAGGAGAAGTTTGATGATCTCCGTTCACAGATGATTGCATATAATCCTGCCTTCATGGAGGATTACTTTATCTCCAGCTTCATCAGTGGATTAGAGGATGAATTGAGGCCAGTGGTTACTATGTTGCGTCCTCAGTCTCTTTCTCAGGCTTACCAGATGGCCAAATTGGAGGAGGCCTCCAATGAGGCTCGACGGCGGAAATGGCGTTCCCTGTCTCGGCCATTTCCGACTCCCCTGAGCAGTAACAAGACAGTTGCCTCACCTTCCAGTCGTCCTGCTAAAGCCTCACCATCTAGTTCGACTTCTAAAGGAAATATGGGTACCAGGGGTGGCTGTTACAAGTGTGGGGAGCGGTATTTTTATGGCCATGTTTGTGACACAGCTAAGAAGCAGCTCAATGCTTTGCAGGCCACGGATGATGAGTTGGTACTTCCTGAATTCAGCAGTGATGAGGATGATGGTGTCGATGCTGGCCTGGTGGAAGAGGAGCCGGAGGAAGTTGCTATGCAGGCCTTGAGTAGTGGTAAACTGACCAACTCATTGGTGGTACAAGGTCGGGTCAGGAAGTGTCGATTGTTGATTTTGGTGGACACTGGAAGCACTCACACGTTTCTTAATCAGGCTAAGGTTGCCGAGTTGAAGTGTTCTGTTGAGGCTGCTCCTCCCTTGCGAGTGAAGCTGGCGGATGGCACTATATTAATGAGTCATTCAGTGTGCAAAGGGTTTCAGTGGGAGATGCAGGGTCACATGTTTTCTTTTGATGCACGAGTACTGAATTTAGGTACTCATGATATGGTTCTGGGATTGGACTGGTTGCGGACAATTAGTCCAGTCAAGTTCGATTTTGTGCAGCTGCAGTTGTTTTTCCAAAAGAATGGTCAGGAAGTGGTATTGACTGGGGAGCAAGAAGTGGGGTCTTGTAAGCTTCTTTCGGGTAAGGAGATGAAGAAATTATGGAAGCACATGGGGTAGGAGTGGACAGCCTACCTTTGCAGCATGGTTGAGGTCAAGGCACCATGTGAGATTCCTTTATTTCTTCTTCCTGTGGTTGATGAGTACTCAGATGTGTTTGGCAAGCCTAAATCCTTACCTCCCTCTAGACCCTGTGACCATTCCATACCACTGCAGCCTAACTCTCAACCTGTTAACCTTCGTCCTTATCGTTACCCTTTACCTCAAAAAGATGTTGTGGAGAAAATGACCAATGAAATGATGGCAGCTCATCTCATACAGCCCAGCAAAAGTCCCTTTGCCTCTCCTGTGTTGTTAGTAGCCAAGAAAGATGGTACTTCTCGTTTCTGTGTAGATTACAGGCAACTTAACTCCATAACCATCAAAGACAAGTTTCCTATTCCTGTCATTGAGGATTTGCTCGATGAATTGAGGGGCTCTAAGTACTTTACCAAGCTGGATCTGCTGTCCGGATACCATCAAATTAGGATGAACCCTGCTGACCAATAAAAGACAGCCTTTAGAACTCATAACGGCCATTTTGAATTCCTTGTTATGCCATTTGGATTAACCAATGCCCCTGCCACTTTCCAGGCCCTTATGAACTCTATATTCTCGGCTTATCTTAGGAAGTTCATCTTAGTCTTCTTTGATGACATTTTGGTGTACAGCCCTGATGAAACTAGCCACGTAAATCACCTTCAGACTACCCTTTCTATCCTTCGACAACATAACCTCTATGCCAAACCCTCCAAATGTTCCTTTGGCCAAACACAAGTTGAGTACTTAGGTCATATAATCACTAGCGAGGGAGTCTCAACTGATCCTGCCAAGATCTCAGCTATGGTGTCATGGCCTCGCCCTAAAAATGTAAAGGAGCTTAAGGGATTCTTGGATCTTACGGGGTACTATAGAAAGTTTGTGAAGGATTATGGGGCTATTAGTAGACCACTTACTGATCTTTTGAAGAACGAAGGGTTTGTTTGGAATTCAGGGGCTGAAGCTGCTTTTGAAAAACTTAAGGCTGCCATGACTCACGTCCCTGTGTTGGCTCTGCCCGACTTCACCAAACCATTCACCTTGGAAACGGATGCAAGTGACACTGGAATTGGTGCTGTGCTTTCACAAGAAGGAAGACCAATTGCTTACTTGAGTCAGGCCCTTGGAATTAGGCAGCAGGGCATGTCAGCATACGAAAAGGAGTATTTGGCAGTTTTGCTGGCTGTCACCAAGTGGCGACACTACTTGGAAGGAAGGCGATTCACGATCCTGACTGATCATGAGAGTCTGAAACACTTGTTGGGACAGAAAATACACACCCAGATTCAGAAAAAAGGTCTGGTCAAGTTGCTTGGGTTGGACTATGAGATTAGATATCGTCAAGGTCGTTACAACAAAGGGGCAGACGCCCTCTCAAGACATCCTGACTTGGTTGGGAGAAGTGGAAGCAACCTACAAAGATGATGAATGGTTAAAAGAGGCTATGGTGGAGGCGGCAGTGCCTACAATAGGACCTAAGGTAAACACGGTGAGACAGGGTGTGTTGTACCATAAGTCCGCCATTTATGTAGGGAATGTTGGCAATATGAGGAAACAGATTCTGCAATTGTTTCATGAGTCTCCAATAGGAGGCCATTCAGGAACGCAGGCCACGTATCAGAGGTTGAAGACTTATTTTTGGTGGCCAGGTCTGAAGCGGGATGTTAGGCAGTTCATTGCTGGGTGTGATGTGTGCCAAAAGTGCAAGAGTGAGAATGTACCTTACCCTGGACTTTTGCAGCCCTTGCCCATACCAGAGGGAGCTTGGAAGCCCATTTCTATGGACTTCATCGAGGGGTTGCCAAAATCTGGGGGAAAGGAAGTGATTCTCGTGGTGGTTGATCGGTTCACCAAGTATGGACACTTCTTTGGGCTCAGCAGACCATATACTGCTGCTTCAGTAGCTCAGGTGTTCTTGGAAGGGGTGTTTAAGCTTCATGGAATGCCCCAGTCCATTGTCTCGAATAGGGATGTGATCTTCACCAGCAATTTCTGGTCCAATTTATTTGCATTGCAGGGTACTCAGTTACACTACTCCACAGCTTATCACCCTCAGACGGATGGGCAGACTGAGAGATTAAATCGTTGTTTAGAAGACTACCTTCGATGCATGGCCCTGACCGGTTCTGCTACTTGGGTTTCCTGGTTACCATTAGCAGAATGGTGGTACAATACCAACTATCACCACAGTCTGCAAATCACTCCTTTCCAGGCCTTATATGGTTACTCCCCTTCCCACTTTGGCATTCAGAATCCACTCTCCACGTCAGTAGCAGCAGTGGCAGATAAGCTTAGGGAGCAGCAGAGGTTGGTTGGACTTCTCAGACACAATTTGGCCAAGGCTCAAAATCGTCAGAAACAGATGGCCGACAAGCACAGGACTGAGCGGGTGTTTCAGGAGGGAGACTGGGTGTATTTGAAGTTGAGACCCTATCGACAGACCTCAGTACAACAGCGGGCTAATCAGAAGTTGGCACCAAAGTTCTATGGACCATTCCTTGTGTTACAGAAGATTGGAGTTGTTGCATATAAGTTGCAGCTGCCTGAAGGTGCTGCAATTCATAATGTTTTCCATGTGTCACAGTTGAAGAAGGCCAGAGGAGCTCATGTGCTTGTTCAGCCCACGTTGCCTGAAGTGGATGATGCTGGAACACTGAAGTTGGAGCCCACTGCAGTGCTTGCTCGGAGGGTTGTTGAGCGTGATAACAGAGCTGCCACCCAGCTCTTGATTCAGTGGTCACATCAGCAAGAAGAGGATGCTACCTGGGAATTCTTGGATGAACTGAAGCTGAAGTTTCCAGACTTTGCGACTTGAGGACAAGTCTTAGCTGAAGGGATGGGACTTGTAACAGTTTGGATGTTTAGGGGGTCGTTTTGTAATAAGGTAGAGAAAGAGGGGTGATTCTGTAAGTAGTGATTGACAGCTGTCAGGCTAGGAGAGGGTACTTAAGTGAACGTTGAGAAAGTGCTGGGTAGAGAAATAAGAACTAACTACTTCCCCTTCTTCCTTCTGCTCTTTTCCTATCCCATTCTCTTCTCTGCAACTCTCTCTTCTTCCTTCATATTCCTTGCTGAGACGATCCAGTTGTTACATGCGGGCACCAACCCGAGATGAAAACGACCCTATCCACCTTCTCCTGAAATTCCGGCGGAAGAGCCGCCGACTCTCCTGTGACAAGATCGGGCCGCATGACCCAGAGGAACGTGACCTCTCTATTGACGAAGCCCATGGCGAATTCGATCAGATGCTGTTTGGACATGGCGGTGATGCTTCCTAAATTAGCATAGATTACGTGTCGAGCCAGCAGAGGCCTCTGGCTCTTCGTTCCACAAGCTGTAGCTGATTGCGTAGAGGGTCGGGGAGTTGAGAATCAATCGAGGAGGAGTTGTATTGGTCAGATCCGGTAGACCCAATTAGGGTACGTGGATTTGAGTGCGGCGAGGACGTTTGGCTGTGTGAAGTGGAATAGCGGAAGCTCTGCCGGCTGATTCGGTGCATTCCATTAGGCAGTGGAAAACCGGCTCTTGGGGATCCGTAGTTTGAAAGAAGCTTGGCAGATCCATGAGTAAGATGTTCTTCATTCCCGGCACTTTGATTGCCGCCTCCAGATACTCATTCGTCAAGTAGTTGTCGTCTGCCGGGAGAATTGAAAACAGTTAACTTTATTGGAATTTGACCATATGTTGAATGGATAACATAAAGAGAAATTAAGGAACTAGAGTGTTCTTGCTAAAGATCAGGTGACATGCTAAAACACAACACCTAACAATGGCCAAGTGTAACCAATGAAAGGGACTGCAGTATAGTGGCACAAGTAATAAATATCGAATCCACGGGTCTCTAGAGTTACTATTACTCAGCTTCAGTTCATTATCTAGCAAACTAGATTAAGGATTGATTGATAAACTACTCTACTGACTACTCTACTAATTACAAGTTGGGAACTCACTTAGGTATGATTCCCCCTAGCTCCTCAATTAGGTCCAAGTTGCAATTACCTTTGGTTGATCTACTGTTGATTAAACTGCAGAAGATCCTAAATTAGCTTGGAATCTCTTAAGCTAACCAAGCCCTCTCAGTCCAACTACCCGGCAGACGACTAGTCTTCACCAGGATACAAACCTGAGGCTATGAACACAGAACTCCACTACCGAAATTGGATTGCAGTACAAAGCAGTAGATTGACTAACTCTCGTATAACCAATTCACCACTATCAATCAAGGAAGCTCTCTTAACCTAATCAGATTCTATCTATCATAGGTTAAAGCAGAAATCAAGAGAATTTGATCAAGATTCAATTGACTCAATAAATCATGCCTCAATCGATTATAATCAAACAATAAAGCATCCAAAACTTCATACAAGAAAGATCCTAACTCATGGAACTAGGGCTCCTCAAAACCTAAGTGAAGGGAAGTTACTCCATAGAGAAGAGAGAGACTGCAGAAATCTGATCTAGATCTTCAATCTCCATCTCCAAGCTTGATTCCTGAGCTCCAATGGCGAAGAAATCCTCCAAAATAGCTCCAAGAATGTTCCCAAGTCGCATTTTACTTATCTCTGAGGGAGGTAATTACGGTCGTAATATCCCAATTACTGCCAGTAATTATGCAATTATGACCGTGGTTACTGTGACTCTTGCCCGTAATTGACTCTGCGACAGGAATTCTGGGGAATTAGGCTCTGCATTGCACTTACGGGCCAGACAGGATCCGACGAAATTAGACACTACCATAGACAAAAACAGACTCAAAAACCGACAAAACAAAAAGGGAAAAAGAACATAAATTCAAACCGTGGTGGGGTTGCCTCCCCACAAGCGCTTCTTTACCGTCTTTTAACTGGACGCCAGTATGGTGGATGCTCAGAGAGGTGAAGGAACAGGTGCCTCCAAAAGCGGATCCACATCGCTCTTGAGGTACAGCTACAGGTGGTGGCCATGCACACGACGAATGTGGCCATCCGGTAGGATGCAAGCGAGTGAATACTCGGATGGCCAAGGCGGTCGAGGCTCAGGAGGCGGGACCAGCTCATAGTGGTCTCCGGTTTTTTTGTGAGCAGGCTTAGCTACCAACAGCTTCGGCTGCCACTCCTCCTTGATCTTGTCTTTTGGTAACGGAGTGGATGGGAGTGGCGGTGAATATATGTGAGAGGGATCCTACAAAATGGGAAGCACAGAAGGATACACTACAGACTCGTGCTCCTGGTGAGAAACAACATGCAGAGGCGAGGAAGCAGGGGTAGTATTAGCAATGGAAAAGGTTATTCGCTCCTCGCCATCGCTCAAGCTAAGGTCCCATCATGTACATCAATGAGAGCCTTGGCGGTGGCCACGAAAGGCCTTCCCAGTATAAGGGCCACTTCTGTGTCCTCATTGATGTCCAAGACAACAAAATCCACAGGATAAAAGAATCTGCCAACCTTAACTAGAAGGTCTTCCACTATGCCCCTAGGGTGAACTATAGATCGGTCAGCTAATTGAAGATTCATCCTAGTTGCACGAGGTTCACCTAGGCCTAGTTTCTTGAACAATTTATATGGCATGACATTGATACTAGCACCTAGATCTGCCAAGGACCTCTCTACATGTAATTTACCTATAGAGCACGGGATAGTAAAACTACCTGGGTCCTTATGCTTCGGCGGAAGCTTGTTCTGCAGAATGGCCGAGCACTCCTCGCTGAGCTCCAGAGTGGCTAGCTCGCTCAGCTTCTGCTTCTTTGAGAGAAGATCTTTCAGAAACTTTGCATACTTAGGCATTTGAGATAGTGCCTCTAGGTAGGGCACTTGGACATCCAGCTTCCTAAGCATGGACATGAAGTTCCCGAACTCTGCCTCTAGCCTGTCTTTGTGCAACCGAGTAGGGAAGGGGAGTTGAGGGATATAATCCTTCACGACTGGTTACGACTTAGGCGCAGGCACCTCAACCTCCGTCTCCGCTTCTTCTTCAACCACTGGAGATGCCGAGGTAGGTCTACCTCTCGCTTGTCTTGTCAGGACAAGTGGGTCTGCAGTCTCTTTGCGGCTCCTTGTTGTGATGGCATTACAGTGGGCATTCGGGTCCTTTGGATTAGGAATGTTATGACCTGGCAAGGTACCTGGAGCCCTCTGCGCCACTGCTTGAGCCACACTCCCCAGCTGGGTTTGGATATCCTGCAAGACAGCCTGTGTGTTCCTCTAGCCAGCTTCAAGAGCCAAGAATTTACACGAGGCCTTTTCCATGAACTGCTCGATAGTATTGAATTTCTGAGCATTGGAACTGGCAAGAGAACCCACCAAGTCCCGTAATTCAGCCATTGGATCATTCTGCACTAGGGTTGCAGGGGGCTGCACCTGGCTGCTGGAAAGGTCGCGGCTGTGGTTGAGCAGCATGCCCTGCATGGGCTGGTAGAGAGACTGCTACTGCTAGAATTGCCCCTGTCTAGGCTGATATGGCGGCCTCTGGAAGCCTGACGGTCCTTGGGAGGCTGGTGGTCTAGGATTGGCCCCAGCCCAGGAGAAGTTGGGATGCTGGCGCCACCCCTCGTTGTACGTGTTACTGTAGGGGTCATTACACCTAGCGTTATTGATGAAGTTCCCCTGCTCGTGGGGTGTGGTCGACTCCCTCATCGCCTGGCAGTCTTCCACCGTGTGATGGGTGCTCTCGCACCACTGCCAGTGCATCGCTTGCTGTTGTCCGGTCCCTGGAATCATCCCAGAGCGATCGATCGCTAAACCAGTTTTGATACCACCTGCACCAAATCAGATGACTGGGTGGCTACAACATGCACACCCCGCCCTGGTGCTCGTCTCGTTCTCCTCGAAGTTCCCCAATCATAGCCCTGCTCTGCCATCTCTTCAAAAAGTTGATTCAGCTGTGGCGGTGTTTTGGTGAGCATATTCCCGCCATAGTCCGATTCAATCAGCTGCTTGTCTTCCGGGAAGAGGGCATGGTAGAAGGTGCCCACCTTTAAGGCGTCAGTAAAACCATGGTTGGGACACTTCAGGAAGAGACTGGTGTATCTCTCCCAAGCATCCCGGATGGTCTCATCTTCATCCTAAGCAAAGTGGGTAATTTGCTTTTGCAGGTCCGTCATCTTGGACGGAGGATGGTAACGAGTGAGGAACTTATCCGCCAGGTTGACGAACGTGGTGATCGAACCTGGAGGTCAAGTGTCTAGCCACTCCTTGGCTTGCCCCTCCAGAGTAAACGGGAAGTACCTCAGCTGGATTGCATCGGCTGGGACCCCATTGATCTTGATCCCATCGATGAGCTCGTGGAATTGTCTCAGGTGTGATCGGGGGCACTCCCCCTCCTTGCCTCGGAACACCACCGAACCGCGCAACATGGTGATGACAGAGGTGCTCACCTCAAAGTTGTTCGCTGGCACATGAGGGTGCTGAATGGGCGATCTCGTGTCCGCGGCTCTGGCGGTCCAGTAGTATCCCATGGTCTGCTCCTCAGGAATGACCACATCATGGTCCTGTGGGTCACCCATCTCTTCTTCGTCGGCGATTTGCAGCTGTGCTAGCGCCTCCTCCGCAGCCAGTCGCGCCTTTAGAGCCCGCTTGAAGTATCTACAGGTCCGTTCAAGCTCCTGGTCTAATGGTAGTAAATCTCCCGACTAGCTACGGGTCATGCACTACCTGCACACAATCAGCAAAAACAACCCGTGAGGGCACACAGGTGGAAGAGAGAAAATGCAGTAAAGAAAAAGCTAGAGTAACAAACTTTCACGTTTCTCCAATAACCTAGAGGTTCCCCGACAACGGCGCCAAAAACTTGACACGATAAAACACAACACCAAACTGCGACCAAGTGTAATCACAGTCCGGAAATGCAGTAACAGGCAAGCTCTAATTGTCAACCCGGGGTTTAGATCTACTGCCTACTTCGTGTATATTTGTTATCTAGCAAACTAAGACGATTGATTTTGGTTTTAACTAAGAGCAGTAAGAAAGCAGGAAATGGTTCGGTTTTCTAAAGCAAAGGAAGATTCACTCGGGAATGAGTCCCCCTAGCTCCTTAGTTAGGTCTCAATTGTAATTACCTAGGGTTGATTAACTGTTGATTCAACTGCGGAAGATCCGACAGTAGCTTGGAATCTCTTAAGCTGACCAAGCTGTCTCAGGCAGGCTAACCGGCAGGCGACTAGCCTTCACCGGGATAGACTGCTGAGGCAATAAGCACATAACTCCACTACTGGAATTGGGTTCCAGTACAAAGCAGTAGATTGATTAACTCTCGTATAACCAATCTACCACTACCGAATGATGAA